AGTGGCGTAACAAAAGTTCCTTTACTGTGCTTATTGGTGGATGCCAGTTTTATTCAGGGGATGAACCCAAAAAGCATGTTCATAGAGGTTTATGTTTGCATTATGTCGCATATTTAAAGATGGCTGAATAGCTGATGGCTGATGGTTACATTAACCATGGGTTTATAAATTTCAACAACAATTCAGATATTGATTATCATAAAATATTGCATAAATGTCCCATTCATTGTATCCAAACAATCATGTCATCTTGGTGAAATTAAGCAGTCAAAACAAAACAAAGAAAGACAGTTTTGGTGATTCAATGCTGGAACTGGTGGCTGAGTTACAACATTGTGATTCTATTTGGTCAGATACCAACATGGAAACTCACCTTGAAACTATGGTGACCTAATAGATTCTCAGAGCTGCCATTTCGGTGGTGTGTGTGTGTAAGAGAGAAAGAAGAGCAGAAACATCCAGATTTTAGAAATGTTTTCCTCAAGAATAAGTCCCTGGGTTTCTACCGATTACTGGAAGCTGGGGCGGGTTTATAAAAGTAAAAGCAAATATGCACACTGTGCTGGCCGATTGTCTGAGCCATTAGGATAATGGTGCAATTTTTAAGACATTTTTTTGTCTTTATCTATCCTTTATATCGTAGCTTTTGAGTAACTATGCTGTGAAATGGATTAAGAAACAATGTCTTGCAGTAGAATTGTAACAAAATCTTTTTATTCTGCCAAACTTTAACAAATAAAAGGCACAAGTCCTTTCCAACTTAGTGAAATGCAAATCTGTAAATTAGAACTTGGGGAAAAGAAAATAGAAAAAAACATGTTTGGTCTGCAGTGTAAATCAGTCATTCAAAGATGAGAAATAGTGCTTTTCTTATAAATTGTGCCATTAGTTTATCGTGTTTTTAAGATACAGCATCTACTTTGATTTAAACTAAAATTAGAGTAAAGAAAAGGATAAACCTTTGCTTAAATACACTAACTGCTGTGTCTCTGACTGACAGTCTCAAATTAATAAAGAAGGGAAGAAAGAGTCTTGTCTTCCTCCACTTTATTATTTGATCCCAACATACGGTGACATAAGTTACGTCTTTGTGGACTCAAGGGAGAGTTTGTTGTCAGCTTGCTGTGTAATTTAAGATCCATCCTCTTTCTGGTATTGATTCTGGTGTTGCCTTGAGATGAAAAGTGTGATGGTGTGTGTCTGTTGGTGCAACATTTAAGCGATAACACTGAGTGACAGGCAGTACTGAAGTGGTGTTTAGATCTGTGAAAGCTTGTCAAAGTCAAAAGGTTGCCCTACTTACACCCTAACCCTTTTTGATAAGTTTTTTTCAAAGTTTGTTTCTAAAAGTGTTCTTGTTGCCGCCTCTACAAAAGTCAAATGTTATGAGTGGTAGGATTAAATGACTTCCTGTCTTTTTCTCTGATGCTCTCTTTGTACCTGATTTATTTAATCTGAATGACGGAAAGTTCTAAAAATGGTACATAATTGTCAGAGAACATGTGCACGTAAAATCTAGTTGTATCCATTTGGGACACGCAGTTCTGTAACCCCGAGAAGAATAGCATCCTTGGAAAGAGGCTTTTTTTGTGAGGAGCGCTCTGTCCTCCCTACAGCAGCTCATTACTTGCTTTCTTGTCAAGTTGAACATCTTTTGAGATTTTGTAAGAGGAGACAGTTGCTGATGACTTCCCTTTTTTTTCTGCCCTCATCTAAATTCACTTTATATATATATAAAGTCATGGAAAATATCATGGAAAATTTGAAACTCATAAAATATAAATTCCTCTGAATATTGTATCATGTTATTCTACCACAACTTTATATATAACTTAAAATAATCACGAACCCATTACAGGATCTATAAGTTTATCACCTTTCAACCAGGACCTGTCCATTATGAACTATGAAGGCCCTCACTATTCCTTGTCATTTACATTTTATAACCATCTCCAATTGTGCTTGCTGTAGCCTGGAAAAAACACTAAATGTGAGTCAGTCATGAAAGCAAACAGGTAATAATCAGTGTTGAAGGTGAGCAATGAAAGGAGGGGAGATGCTGTCCCTACCTCCCAAGTTTCATAATAAAATCCAAATAGGGACAACAAGAAGAGCAGTATTGAGGGCGCCCAGCTTCTTGCATGAAGACCAAGGTTCTTTATCTGGAGAGAAAATATCTCTTTGAAAGCTCACTATTCAGATTCTGGACATCGTGCACTTATTTCAGATCCACATGCTTGTTTTTTTTATATGTGCAGGTTTTGTGACTAAACAGCATTCAAAGCTTTAAACAGAAGATATATCTGGGTCATAAATGACTCTTTGAAGTTGGATTTTCTCAGGAGAGAGCCTGACTAGCTTTTCTCTTTGCACTAAACAGATCTTATAAGAAAACTACTGGCACGATCCACAGAATGTATCCCCTGAATACAGAAGTATGCCTTGACTGCTGGAAAGATGTGACCCACTGTAAACTTACAGCACATCCTATTCCTCCATCAGCTCGAATCACTGCAGTTTAACAATAAAGTGTTTGCATAATGCATTGCATGCTGTTGTATTGCATAAAAACTAGATAATTTTCAGGGATGATGTGTTATTATTGCTGTTATTTACCTATGTTTTCAAGTGAACTGAAAATTCTCTCTCTCTCTCGCCATATATATATAAATGTAGCTCATAGTGCAGTTTAAGATGGTGAGCAAACCTGATTGTGTCAACATGCAGTGAATGCTGAGGAGGCTGTCTGAAATGTTAAGCTGGCTGACACCAAGATTCATGAAATCTTAAGTCTTAAAGAAGTCCCTCTTGAGAAATGCTAAAACAGACTAAAGATGAACAGTAATGCTGGAGGTTTGGAAATCCGTTCGTCTGAAATTCAAGCGTAAACAACAGAAATGATGACCCCCTTACTTATACTCCGTCTGAGAAATTTGTTGAACAAAAAATGTAAATAAACATAGATCCGAAAGAGCATTCATTTTTTAAATGTACAATAAGCGACGGCAGTTTCTTTTGAAACTGTCATAAACCATAACGACAACAATCAGGAGTTCTGCCGTTTACATGCATTTTGCATGCACTGGAATTTTCATACAAGGCAGTTAGTCTTAAGAGATTTTCATCATGTTTTATTCATTATATGGTCCCCATAAAACAGTGACACTGTTAATGATTAAAACTCCGCCAAAGTCCATGAAGTGGAGAAAAGGCAACACACTGATGAACCCAAAAGAAGAAAGGAAAACAAATTTATCTCCGTTCATGGGTCGAGAGTGAACTGTCAAGCTCAAAGAAAAAATAATCTGTCTTGTCTGTTATGACATTTGCAGTGCAATATGATTCATTTCTCCCATTAATCTTCAGCATAACTAAGTAGAGCCGTTTCTCTGAATGTTACCAGGTATGGAAAAGGGATGGAGAAGTCTCAAATGGACACATTAGGTTAGAAAAATAACTGCTGTAAATCACAACTGGTAGCAACTTGCGATGCAGCTTTGCAAGAATTGCAAACAACACACAAAGCATGTGGTTAAAAATATAGTGAAATATTACGGTCACTTTAACAGTTGAACTCTAGCTGTTCGGGATACTGTGGCTGTCGCTCTATTGATAGTGATATGAAAATGTATTTGCTTTTACCACAGGGGCTTTAATAAAACTAAAAAGTTACACAGACTCTTAGCGTCGGTGGGTGTTAAACTGAGGTTTGATGATGTAAAGATGCATCAAGTTCATTGTTATGTCTGGTATCACTCAAGTGACAGCACCTTTTGAAGGAAACGTTACTCCATTTCTCTAGAGAATGCCTCAAGGCAGCAAAGGAAATGTGAGCAGTTCCATTGTTCTCCCCTTCTGTCAAGCGACTTTGCAACTGCAACACGTATCAGTCATTTTGATTAGCTGTCTACCTGGAAGCATTGTCTAGCCTGAAGCTGAGCTAACTGGCCTCTGTATGCCAACAACAGGTGTTGAAGAGGCAATAAAAACAAGCAATGGTTTTCAGTCTCAGTATCAAATGGCCCTTTACGGCAACAACTTCAAATTTGTGACTCCATTGGTCATTATAATACAGGTATCTACTTCTTTTGCTTCTGAGAAAATATTGATGACAATCAGTAAAAGCTGTTCAGTTTGAGGGAAGTCTTATATACTAATTAACTTACATCACTGAAAAAAATGTATTGAAAAAATATCCCTGACAGCTTTTTATTATTATGAATGTAGTATTTTATGATTAGTCATGGTGACTCTTTTTGTTCAGCTTGGTAAAGGTAGATTTTTTTTTAAATCTGTATAAGAATCAATTGATTTTGTATTAAAAAAAATAAAATGCTGGTATTAGTGAGGAATTGGATCTCACAAGGGCCTTAAGACAAGTGGATTTTCCTTTTAGTTAGTGAATAGATTCAAAGTGCTGTAAGCAAAGATTAAACCAGAATAAAGTGCAAGACTGTTGAAACAAATTCTTTCTTTTACAACTCCTCTTTCAGACTGGTCGTCCACATGGACGTGCTCATGCTCGCATTATTACTTGAGCTGACAAATAACACCCGCAAGCAATAATAAAGCGGTTGATTCCTTCATCCATAAGATCAAAAAGCTTTTTACTTGTCTTTATTCTAATGTCTCACTTGTCAGGCTGACAAAAGATTTTGAAACCACAGCCTGCAAATTGAACTTGGATGACTAAACTGTTGTAAAAAAAAACCCCTAAAGAAATAGCTGCTGGTCATACTGAATCCAGCACAGAATCATAGACACAATCATGCTGCTTTGAGATTCTTTAGAAAGTTCAGACCATTTTAGATTAAATTCTGTGTGTCAAATGTGTAATGCTTGCAGCTTAACTGTGAGGTAAAGTTCTCTATTAGCTAAAGCAGCAGATTAGCCTCGCCAGGCAGATAGCAGAAAGC